AGACTGGCATTCTCTGTGGAGGGATTGCACAGCAGAAGCTTTGCCTGGAAACACCCTGGCTTGCTTTTGGTCTTAGTAGTTTTAAAGTACATCTTGAGTATCCAGTCGGCTTGGATTTCCTAAAATCTCTTTTAAGGAAGAGAGGCCCCCAACCCTGCTCCAATTGTGCTTTATTTTGATGCCAGGAGATCTTACCTAATGCCTGAGCCACATGCTTCCCATACCCTAGCTGGGCATGATCTATGTGCATAGAGATGGCTTTACTAAGGAACTGATTGATAATGAATATTTAAACACCTTAACATGACACGTCTTGGTAATTTTTCCCTCCATCCTTTAGTTTATGGGTGGGCATTTTCTTTTGATTTTTTTTTTTTTACTATATCAATGTTTATCACACTTAACATCAATGATTTGTATGTTTATCTAAATACAGTACAATGTATTTAATGTTAAGAGATAAAGAAACTTTGTATTTTGGTGAAGCTTTTTTCTTTCTTTCTTTTTAATTAAACCTAAATAGCTTCAAGAAGTTGAAGGAGTATTACCATTCCCAGCGTAGCCCTGCTTAGGTTAGCGCTGTGTGGAAGACTTGCGTCGGAGTTCCAGTCTGTCTGTTGAACATGAGTAGAACAGAAAGGATGTCTATGATACATAAAAAGGGCATGTATTTAATGTTAAGAGATAAAGAAACTTTGTATTTTGGCCAAGCTTTTTTCTTATTTTTTTAATTAAACCTAAATAGGTTCAAGAAGTTGGGGGAGTTTTACCATTCCCAGCATAGCCCTGCTTAGGTTAGGGCTGTGTGGAAGACTCGCATCGGAATTCCAGTCTGTCTGTTGAACATGAGTAGATACATATGAGTGTCTATGATACATAAAAAGGGCAAAGAACAAGCATAAAGAACCTGTGTGTGTATAATTAGATAGGAAACCACCACCCCCAGCAGCCACCTTCTAATCAAGCAGTCAAGATTAGTGTGTGACATAACAAGGTCTGTAGAGTGTTGGCTTGCCATAGCCTTACCCTTCTGTCTTGTTCCTTGCCTAGAAATCCTCTCGTACAGCGATGACACAGCAATGACCCACTGTGTGGTGAAGTCCCTGATGGCTAAGCGGGACTTTGATGAAGTGGATATGGCAAAGCGGTAAGGAGACACCTGAATTCAGCCTCTCCGTTTCTGGCATAAATGAGATATAATATTTAGAAATATTTTGCTTGGCTTGGTCAATAAATTGGGATTTTCACTAAGCATTTCTTTTCTTGAGGTTTAAAGCTGTTTCTCCATTGTGCGAGGCTGGAGTATGCAATGAGTGACTTGTGGCTCATATGTGTTCCCGTCTGCTTTTGTGGTTCGTAGGACACCCTCGCCCCTTTGTGTGTCTAAAAAAATGAAGTGTCACATTTTCTGGGGCCTTCCAGGAACACATCTGAAATCACCTTGTATTTGCTTTCCAGACATTTCTTTTAGGTGAAAAGGAAGGAGGTTAAAGAAGAGGTGTATTTTGGGTTGCTTTGGGGTTTTGTCATATTAGGTAATGCAGCCTGCAGTGGGCCCTCCAGGGGACAGAATTGGCCCCCAGACCCTGAGATTGCCCAACTTGTTGTAAAGCAAGCTACAGAGAAGTGTATTGGAGCTTCTTCCACGCACATCTCAGACTCTATACCTTGAGTGCTTTGTATTCAGACACCCTAAACTCCTGTCTTTTCCTGTTTTTTAGCGCCCAAGTGCCCACAGATATTAAATGGGGTGTGTTATAACCATGTTCTCATCTGGACAGCTTTGCTGAGGAATACAAGAGGGACCCTGGCCGAGACTACGGAGCTGGTGTGATTACCGTCTTCAAGAAGCTTCTCAGCCCGAAATGCAGCGACGTGTTTGAGCCGGCAAGACAACGGTTTAATGGGAAAGGCTCCTATGGGAACGGTGGTGCCATGAGAGTAGCAGGAATCCCACTGGCTTACTCCAATGTTCAAGATGTAAAGAAGGTACACTGGCTCCTCACCTCATATTTTTGTAATGTAGCGAGAGAGATAGGCTGCAGTCGGAGGGATTTCAGCGCAGCCAAAGTATCCCCCAGTCTTTTGTCATTCTGCTTTGGTGTCTCAGTTATCCTTACAATAGCCTATCTTCAGCTACATGTTGTCCTTCTGTTGTTCTCTGTTGATTGCAGTGCACATGGGTTGTTCCATAAGGATTTGGCTCATTACATTTTGAAGGAATCAGCTTCTTTGTGATTAACTAGTGTCAGTGCAAAGAGCCTTGTGCAACAGTGTTTAAACTAGCATTGCAGCTACAACTCTGCTCCCTCAGCTATTGATACCACTGGATCTGACTGCTGGCTTGAGGTTGATTCGGCCTTCCATCTGTTTGAGATTGGTAAACTGAGTATTCACCTCAGTAGGGGGCTGAGGATGCATAGCTGCATAATTAATTTTAAAAATGTAAATTGCTGAGATAGTGTTTTAAGCACTATGGGGTGTTATCTAAGAAGTACATTTTGCTTCAGCGTAAAGGGGGGGGGGGTTCCCAGGGACTGCTGTCTGGCAGATAGGACTGGACAGTAAATGTGAGGTGACATAGAACAGGTACCATAAAGCTCTTGCAAGGAATCTACCACATACAGTGCTGAGGGCAAAGCAAAGGAATCTCCAGCCCACAGGTCTGTCACAACCCCCTGCAGGTTCTTCACAAACCTCATCCTATGAAAAATCTGTGGTTCCTTCCATCAAAAATTTAAGGCAGAAACAGGGACGTCCCCCTGCACTTGCAGAGAATCCTTATTACTGTCTTTGAGCAGAGAGAGCAAGAAGTCCTGGTTGCATGACCAGCTACCACTAACCAGGTCTCAGTCTGGGATGCAGCTGGCACTCCTGCAGGTACGTACCAACTGAGAGCCTTTTGCTCCTCTTCTTCTGCATACGAAAGGGGAAAGTGGAGAGGAAGTAATTTTCCTGTGTCTTGCTGGATTCTCCCTGGCATGTCCTGAAAGCCCCAGTTGAGAGCAGATCCTTCTTCCTCCACTTTCTCTGCTTAGGGAAAGAGACAAAACTGTTCTTCTGCCTTTCATCTGAAGTCCTGTCTGGTGCCTCCCCTCTCCCAGTGCAAGGGGTCTTGATTGAGTGATTGATTTCCTACGCCTGCATGTGCTCCAGGAGTTGTCAGAGAAGATGCGAGGGCAGGTGTGAGTGCAGTAGACAGTGTTGGTGACTACACCACGTCAGGCTTGGCTTTCCCTGTTCTTTTGTCTCCTGCCTCTGCAGTTTGCTAAACTGAGTGCTCAGCTGACCCACTCAAATTCTCTGGGTTATAATGGAGCCATCCTGCAAGCTTTGGCCGTCCACTATGCCCTGCAGGGGGATCTAAACCGAGACCAGTTTCTGGAGCACCTGATCGGCCACATGGAAGACGTGGAAGCGGATGAGAAGTCTGTGGCTGATGCCCAGATGTGAGTAACATCTGCCCAGAGCAGGTTTGCGTTTATGCTTGGAGGTTGCACAGGGTGGCAGCATACAGCTTGACACACTTGGTGTCATTCTCTCATCTACAGGCTGGGCTATGAAGAATTACCCTTTTCAAAACGTCTTAAAAAGATCAAAGAATTCTTGGAACGAAGCCGTGTGCCCAGTTCAGATGTGGTGCTAGAATTAGGTATGTCTCTCTCCGAGTGCAATCAGTACACACACACACACACACACACACACCTGGTTTTGTGACTGGGAAATAAGAGATCCGTAATTGTATTGGTTTCATAGGTATGTCTCTCTCCGAGTGCAATCAGTCCACACACAAACACACCCACCCCTGGTTTTATGATTGGGAAATAAGAGATCCATAATTGTATTGGTTTCTGCATCATAGTTAGTAGTACTTATTACGTGCTGTCAAGTCGATGACCAGGGTTTTTAGAAGAGGTTTACCATTCAATTCTTCTGGTGGCCCTCTAGAACTGTACAGCTTCCCCACACACACGCAGGCTGGTTCTTAGTGCAGGAAGTGCAGGGAAGAATTTAACTATTGAGCCCGGCTCTGTCACCATAGACCCAACTCACTGAGCTAGGTTCAGAGTAAGGACATATACATAATGCGGGGAATGAGTTTGTGCGATGGAATGGACAGGCCAGAGATTCAAGACAAAAACAATCATTACTGTGGAGCACAGTGCCATAAATCAGGATCGCAGTGGGCAATGCGTCTTTCTGCTGTGTCCTCTCCACCCCACCCCACCCGCTTCAAGTCCCTTTCTCTCTTCATCTTCCTTCTGTGGCAACATGATGCTAGGAGAGCAATAGATACTACCTGCCAGAAGTCCAAATGGCTGTCCTTTCAGAGAAGTTTTCAGGGAAAGCTCAAGGCCATGTGAGTTCCTAGAGTTGCAGGTTGCCTATTCTTGCAATAGAATGATGCAAAAGCTGAAGCATAAATAATTTTTAAAAGAGATGAAATGTACTGCTAGATCTTTGGTTGGGCACCTGCCACTGATAACTGGAGAGCATTTCTGAATGGAGAGAAAGCCACAGTCCCACTTACCAGATGTTAGGAAATGATATGCGTTGTAGATATAATGTTTGTGTAGATTTAGGTGAGCCATTTGATTGGTGCTCTTAGTTTTAAGACAGACTGGTGGCCTTGGCAGGCTGATGGTCTGGCTTGATAATGTTATCTCTTTATGGCCCCCAAATCCATGGCTTTGTCTTTTCACCTGTCACTCATGTGATGTGAGGCTTGTGCCTTACCAGTGGAAACACCACCTTGCCACAGCAGAGCCTCTTCTCAGGCACTGCTTTTGCTGTTGAGAGAAGGGGGGCAGGGGGCATTCAGGCTTGGCACTAAGAAAGCCCTTTAATCCCTCTCTCCGTTTTAACGGGATCTGGAGAAGATTTTGTTTCTACTTTTCTCTTGGTCACACTGGGGCCTAACTGTAACTACAGTCTAATGAGAGCCTTTGAATGGATGTTAGCTGCGTCTGCTGCCCCTCACTAAAAGGAGATTTATTTTGCCAGGGAATGGCATTGCAGCTCTCCAGTCTGTCCCTACGGCCATTTATTCATTCCTGCACTGCATGGCGCCTCATCCAGAGATCCCGGAAGAATTCAACAGCCTGCAGCGGACCATTATCTACTGCATCTCTCTGGGTGGGGACACGGACACGATCGCAACCATGGCGGGGGCCATTGCGGGTGCATATTATGGGGAAGAGCAGGTGCCCCAGAGTTGGAAGCACAGCTGTGAATCTTTTGAGGAGACAGAGAAGCTGGCGGACAGCTTGTACGAACTGTCTTGCCAACAGGTCTGAGCCCCACCGAAGAAGGAATCATGTGACCCGGCTGTGCTGCTCATTGTATGTGTCAGAAAAGATGAAATTAATATGCCACATAGGGTGTTCCCTCAAGGAAAACATACCTAGGAAATGGCTTAAGAGATTCCTGCTGTAACTGAAGTGCCCAAGAGGTGCCAGTGGCTTCCCTTTTGTTACCACCTCTCTCGTTTTTTTTTACCTTTTTATGATTAAATCTGAGTTGGAGTCAAGGCTCTCTGGGTGCCCTGTGCCCAGATGGGTGATGTAGTCAAAAGTACGTGTCCTGAAGTTGAGCTTCTTTTGCAGGCAACTCTCTCACCACGGTGAGCGAGAATCCTTCCTTCTGGGTAACGCCAGGAGCAGAATAGGAGTCCATGCCTGGGCAGAGATGAGGATAGGGCCGTCAGCATTGCTCCTCACCAGATGTAATGATGATAGCTCATGAGGGAAAGGGCAGAAACTGTTTCTGACCTGTCTGGGTAGTTTGCAGCATCTCGACAAGGAGAAAGTGGAACTTAGCTTCCGCTGAGTAACACGAGTACTCAGTCTGATTTCTTTTGTAGCAGGCATATGTGTTACCGTTAATACGGAAAATATACTGCACGGCAGCCATGATTTTAAGTCAAAAGGCCATATTGGATGGTATCACTATTTGGAGGAAGACATGACTTACCATCTGACCAGCATCCTCCTCTGATGCCCGGAGACTGCTGGTGTGTGGCTCAATTATTTGGTAGTACAGGTGTAAATTCCACTGCTTGAGAAATCTGGATTGTGCACTTGATACCCCAGTTCAATTTTGAGATTGACAGTGCAGTTTGGGTCTGTGCCCTTTGGGATTGTGTTGTATGAGAGGGCAGGAAAAAAGGGTATGTTAGTCAGGAAGGAAAGACTCCACTGTGTCCACTGGTTTGAGAGAACAGGTAGGTGTTTTGTCCTGCTTATCTGTTCAGTGGGTTTCTCTATTTGTTTTCTAGAAAAGTAACCCAAACAGAGAGGATATATGGTGAACATAAATTCCAGTCTCATGTTTTGCAGTATGCTAATATTCCAACACATACCTGGTAACTCCACACAAGCAAAGGCTTCACAGGAGATGGAAATGTCTGTCCCCCACTGGGTGCTGTTGTGGTGGGATGGAAACTCTGCATGCTGCTCCAACCATCCCAGTTTTGAAAGGGTACTCAAAGAAGAGAGATGAACAAAGGATGAGGAATGAAACACGTTTACAAATGCTCTGCTTTCCTTGTTTGTTTCATTTTGGTGTGTGTGTGTGTGTTGTTTTTTTTAAGGTGGCAACTTGAAATACAAATCAGTCTCTCTTTATAAAATAAGATTTATTGATGTTTGGTCAATACAATCAAGTACTGTAGTTTCAGTTCAGAAGTGGAGGCCAGTTTTCGATCACAAAACAAGAGTGCATTTTAAAACAAATTTTACTATGAAACAGTGCATGTAACATACGTATTTACAAAACTAAAAACCCTCTATATACTAGGTTAGAAATGAAGATAGGAGAGGCAGCTGTTTTTCTTTTTAAAAAAGAGTTGGTATATAAAAATGCATGTTGTAATGCACAGTTAAAAGAAGTTTCCAAATCTGTTTGTTCTTGACTAAAACCCAACTGCCCTGTGCTTTCCAACACAAAAACACAACCTTTGTCATAGACAAATATTAGTTTGTCTATTTGATTTTTTTAAAAAAGCCAACCCATTACTTTCTCCTTTACAGCCTCTTCAGTCAACACTTTATCTTTCAATGAGTAATAATGAAAAATTTTGATATGCTGTGTCAAGCAGTTTTTAAAATGGTATAAATGCAGAAGGTCTATGCTCTGTATCAGAATAGAATAGGCTGCAAAACAATAGCTATGGAACTGAAATGATTTAATACCTTGTTTTCAGATAAATGTGTATTTTGTTATTGTGCTTTCTGTCTTACCAGCCAGAAAACTAGTGACAAATCTGCAAAGGGAAAAAAAGATTATCGTTTTATACAAACACAATATAAATAAACTGCATACAAGGCACACAAGAGAAAAACTTGGATTTACATGTATCTCTGCTACTGTTAGAATACTTATCCGCAACTCTTTCCACTTCAGGCAGTGTGACTTTGTTAAATAATAACACCTTTTTCTTGATCTGCTGGTCTGAAAAATGGAAGTTTAATGCTCTCCTCCACAGGAGAATTCACTTAAGTCAAAAGCACATGTCTCCTGCACTTCCTCTTCTGATATTAGGCACGTATAAAATGTATGTACTTGGCTTTCTTCAGTTTCAGCCTGTAGTGACTGAAATGAAAAGATACTGCAAGTGAAATCTGCCTTTGGCATCATTCTCATCTCCAGGAATTTAGAAAACATCAAATGGAATCAGAAATTGTGGGCCTGTACTCTTGGTGTGTCTAAATCAGGCAAACAAGTCTTAAGAGAACAAGAGAAAGAAAGAAAGAAAGCTGTTAGTCAGATTTGAAATACAGATATCCCAAATTTCAACTCCCAGCATCCTCCTCCTGGTGGTATTTTTTTACAGTCCAGAATGTGTTGTTTTTCTCTCCGATGATGCCACTCCTGTATAATACTTGTTTTCAAACTCAGAATTGATTGTATTTTTAACACTGCTTAAATACTTCTGCCTACACAGTAAACCTGGAGAAAGTTTACCCTGGCTTTAGTGATGGAATCCTGGCCCCTTCAAAATAATCTTTGCATCATGGACAGGATTGAGTTTTTTTTTCTCCACAATAGAAAATGATTCTAAGCATATTCTTTGTCCTGAATGAAAGGGCTCTATTATTAACAAAAGAGTTTGGAATTATGCACTGTCACTTATTGGACAGGTCCAAAGAGTTACATTGGTCCTAGACAACTGAAGTTGATTCACAGGAGGATCACAACCCTTTCCAAAAGCTGTGAATAACATTGTAACCCAGAGATAATGTTTCAAGCGTTATTGCAACAAAGTGATAGAAAAACACACTGGTCAGTGTCATTATCCTTATGTCACAGAAGTCTCTGCATGCAGCATGTTGCACCTTTTTAATACATAGATATTGCACTGTACAGAAAAATATTTTAAGTTGTTAAGATTAAGTAGCAAGTAGCACCGATGAAAAAGTTAACTGAATGTAAAGTGGCTATGGACTTCATCAAAAATTTCATGGGTGTGGGTGTTTCCACTGCCCTCAACAAAAAAAGTTTACATACCCTGAAGAAAATTGTATATTACAAGTTGACACTTTGAGGATAATACCTTTTTTCCAGTCAAGCTATAACAAGTGACTCTGCATCACTTTACTGGGATTGTCAGACAACGGCATCTATTGAACCATATGTTTTTAGAGTGCTGACTTATACATGATCAGTACTTAAATACAGAATTATCAAAGGACTATGAACAGATATTTTAAGGAGTCCTTTAAAAGGGGGGGGAGGGCTGTGGAAGTCTCTGAATGGCTTTGGATTACGTTTCACTTGTCATTGTCCCCTTTTCCGGATTACATCCTGGTGGGATGCTTTAGAGATAGGGTGAACGACGTGGAAAAGGTGCTTATGCAGCACATTCCACAGTGAGATATTTTACCCTTTAGGTTCTTGATTTTCTCCCGAGAGAGTAACTCGGATCACATTTTGAAACTGGAAGCTGAAACATGGACAGATGCTACAGCTGGAAGGAGGTGCCTTAAAAGGAACTTCACAACGTGGGATGTCATGGCCGCAGCTGCATCCCCATGCACGGCCATCTATCCAACGCCTTCAAGTGTGCCTTAGAGAACTGACTGGCAGCTAATTCCCAAGGTTAGCATCTGGGCTTGATGGTGCAGTCACTAGAAGAGAGTAAATTCCAGAAACGAAGATGGCACTGCAACAACCAAATGGTCTCCTTCCAGTTATCTCCTCAGCTTGGTTAGGATGGTTCCCCATCCATCCCATCAGTACTATCTTCCCAGTGACTGTTTTGTATTTTATATATATATTTATATATATATATATATTAAAAAGACACGTTCATGGCCAAAGTGGATAGAAGTAGTTGCACCCAATAGCTGTTATGTGGGACAAAGGAGGAAGCCGGAAAAGGAGGAGTGGATGTATTCGGTGGAGTACAGGCCGTTGGCCTGATCCGACGGCATCTGGACCCAGACTTGGTCGTTCTCTCTGAGTTCAAGCACAGCGCTACCGGAGGCTTGGTCCAAGTAGCCCTTTTTGTACTCGTCGTAGGTGTAGGTGGCCGGCACGTTGTTCTTATAAAGCGCCACCCAGACGTTCGTTCCTTTCACGTGGACGTGATAAGCAAAGTAATAGATGCCAGAAATGGGGGCAGTGAAGATCCCTGTCACTGGATTGTAGCCATTCTGCCCGTTGTACAAGGTCCTGTCGAATTTTATGGGCATTCCTGAGGCTGGGAACGGCGAGGTCAAGATGGCGGTGAAGGCGGGTAGCATCTGGGCAGAGAGCTCCCCTCGGCCATACTGGGGCTTCCCGGGCTTGCCGTTTCCCAGGACTGCTCCCTCGACGCCTCCGTCTGGCAGATGGAGGCCAGCGATTCCTGCCCCGTCGAATACCCCGGGTGCACCCGGTGGCCCGGGTGGGCCCGGCGGTCCCGGCAGCCCGTTTAAGCCCGGATTCCCAGGCACTCCGGGTGGCCCAGTAGGGCCGGCGATGCCTGGCTCGCCTGCTTTTCCAACTCCTTGGGGCCCTGGGAGTCCAGGTTCCCCTTTCAGGCCCGGCAAGCCTTGAGGGCCCATTGGACCCGAAGGGCCTTGCAGACCGGGTATCCCCGAGGGCCCTCGGGGCCCCGGCTGCCCTGGGATACCTGACTCCCCCTTTGAGCCCATTGGCCCTGTAAGGCCTGGCACCCCCGGCAGCCCCATGAAGCCCGACTCTCCTTTGGGACCCGTGGGGCCGGGCATGCCTTGCGGTCCAGGCAGTCCCCTTTCCCCGGGGATCCCCGGCTTCCCCACAAAGCCACTGGGCCCTTGGTCCCCCCGCATACCTGGGAGCCCTGCAGGCCCGCTGGGGCCGACGTCGCCTTTAGAGCCGGGGATCCCGTGTTTGCCCGGCAAACCCATGGAGCCCGGAGGGCCTGGCGACCCAGGGACGCCGGGGGGCCCCATCTCGCCCATCTCGCCATCCATGCCGGGCTCGCCTTTGTCTCCAATGATCCCTGGGACACCTGGTTGGCCACGGTCTCCTTTTAAGCCAGGCAGCCCTGGCTTCCCATATCCTGTTGGCCCAGGCATGCCGGGGAGGCCCCGCAGCCCTGGCTCCCCCTTGGGGCCCATTGGGCCTTGCAGGCCGGGCATGCCAGCGGCCCCGGGCACGCCAATGCCATCCAGGCCCGGCGGGCCACGTGGACCCACCGGCCCAGGCTGCCCAGTGATCCCCGGCTGTCCTGGAACTCCAGCGTCACCCTTGTCACCTGGAGCGCCGGGCAAGCCGTCCAGTCCCGGTTTCCCAAGGGCAGCAGGGCCAGGAGGCCCCGCAGGGCCGGGGGCCCCTCCGTTCCCTCGGGCTCCTGGCAGCCCCGGCTTCCCAACCCCATTTTCCCCCTTCATGCCCCGCTCGCCACGAGGGCCGGGCTCCCCTTTCGGGCCGGGCTCCCCTCGGAACCCTGGCAGTCCCGGGCTGCCCGCTGGGCCGGGTTTCCCCGTCACAGAGATGCCGGCCGGGCCAGGCAGCCCCGGTGGGCCGGGCAGGCCCCTTGGCCCTTGCTCTCCTCGGAGGCCAGGCTCGCCTTTCATCCCAGGCATTCCTTTCATGCCCGCCTTGCCAGGGAGCCCTGGAATGCCTGGTTTGCCAACGCCCGAAAAGCCTGGCGGGCCAGCGGGACCCGGTTGGCCGTGAAGTCCTGGCTTCCCAGTGCCCGGTTTCCCAGGGTATCCAGGCGGGCCGGGTGGTCCTCTTGGGCCGGGCTTCCCGGGAGGTCCAGGTTCTCCTTTGAGGTCCATCGGCAGCAGTGGCGGTGGTATGTCTGCAAAGAGAAAAAGGGGTTGAGTAAAGAGGGCAGCAACCTCAGGGGCCATGAAGCCCAAGGAGGTGGAGCTGGAGCTGGAGTTTCGCTCTTCAGCTGTGGCTACGGGTACCTTTCAATTTACTCCAGGGGTTCCCAGCCTTGGGTCCCCAGATGTTCTTGGACTGCAGCTCCCAGAAGCCTTCACCCACTAACTGCTGGCAAGGGCTTCTGGGAGTTGCAGTCCAAGAACATCTGGGGACCCAAGCTTGAGAACCACTGCTTCACACCTTACTGCACAAAATGGTTTCTATTGGGCCAAGGGGAAGGCGGTACAAGAGCAGCTGTCTATATTTTCAAAGTTGTCCCTAAACATTTGAGCTCTGGAGCAATTTCTGGAGCTGCTTCTGTAACAGTTCTGTAACCTTAGCAAAATGAGAAGAGGTCCAGTTCTCTGGCTTCCACAATCAAAAGGGAGCACAGGTGAAGCTTGAAGGCTTGGCAAATGATGCTTGCAAATGATGCAGCTGCATGATGACATGAGAAAACAATGTTCAGGGAAGTGTTCCTGGAGGCAGGTCCTGTACTACTGAGATTAAGTTCTTTGTCCCCACTTCTTGGCTCTTAGAAAAATTCTGGTGGATGTTTCAACTTACCGTGCGTGCGTGCGTGCGTGCGTGCGTGCGTGCGTGTGCTGTTGAGTGGGAGAAGGCGTGCTTCTGGAGCTGAGCTTTATGATTCATCCAGTATGTGTGTGTGTGCATGCATGTGTGCATGTGCTGTTGAGTGGGAGAAGGCCTGCTTCTGGGGCTGAGCTTTACGATTCATCCAAGATTTCCTCCAGCCTTTATGTCCACCATATGCATTACACCATGGCTTCCATCAGCCAGCCATGGCACCTAGTGGAGGGTTGGTTGCCCCATCATAATCGGGGTTTGGGGGCAGAGAAAATACCTCTTTAAATCATTTGCATCTGCCTATGCCAAACTAACTTAAATGCCCACTTCTGGGTAAAGGGCGCAGATGGTATTAACAGAATATCCCTCCCTCCAAACCAGTAACTGGGTATATGGAAGAGGTACGTATGTTTTTTTTTCCTTTTCTGATCAGAAAAATTAGTGCCAGATGTTCTTGATCTTACTTTCCTTCCTTGAGTTGAAACGTTTTGCAGCTTATCTGCATACCCAAGGCTTGCCCGTGTCCACTGCCACATGGGTGTCCCTGGGAATCCTAGCCCTCCCAGCTTTTGCCACTGTAACTGTGCAGGCAAAGAAAGAACAGTGCAAGCTTAAGCAGCGTCCCCCTCCCACTCCACGTTGGCATCTATAAACAGGCTGTCCCAAAGAAAATTAGTTCAGTATGTCCCTAATGCTAGTTTGAAAATAACTCGTTTTCTTGGTCAAGTTGGGTATATATGAGAGTGAGAGTGAAATTGAAAGACCAAAACAAAACTCATTCATTTGAAAGAGAAAGGAGGATGTTCAGAGGCAACTTGCCAGCCCCAGGACAACATAGTACAATGAACATGGTTGAAGAACATGTTTTCTTAAAAATAATCTGAGCAAATTTTGCTCTTCTGTGTGTAGAAAGATATGATTTCGTTGTCACTATCCTTGTGAAATCCTATCTACTCCTAGTAGGATTTAAAACAGAACTATGTAGTTGCTAGGTTTTGTATCCTTTAAAATGGGATAACTGTCATTGTTGCTTCTTGGCTCTATCCTACCATTTTTATCTTACACTAGGATAAGGGAAATCCACTTACAACTGCCAAACGTCTCCTGCAGTCCAGTCAGTAAACCGTGGGTTTATTACATCTGATTAAAAGTTCTGAAGAACACAAAAGTTTGGTTTCATGGCATTTTAGTTATGTGCATCTTAATAAAGATAAAACCTCGCCATGGATATTCTTTTAATGGATCGATGCAATTACCAGCAGGCTCAGGTTCTGCTTTGGCTTTCTATGAAATACAGTGGACCCTCTACTTACGGAATTAATCCGTATTGGAATGGTGTCTGCAAGTCGAAAAGTCTGTAGGTCGAATCTCCATTGACCTACAATGCATTGAAAACCGATTAATCCCATAACCAGCGGTTTTTATTCTATTTTTGTTCCATTTGGGGTTTTTTCTGGTCTGTACGTCGATTCTCCGGCTGCAAGTCGAATCTAAATTTTGCAGCCAGAGAAGTCTGTAACTCGAAAAGTCTGTAAGTCGAGCCGTCTGTAAGTCGAGGGTCCACTGTACTGATTTCCAGTTTCTCAAACAGTTTTTATTATGCTGAATGTTTACATCACAGATATTTGCGGCGAAAATCCCAAAGAATAAATTTTGCAGACAAAGAATTCTAAATGAATTTCCCGCTTAGCTTTCAAGATTCTCTATTCTGGTTCCTCTGTATGAGGAGCAGAATACAGAAAAATGTCCCCCTTGGCAGCAAAAATAACCTTTGAACCGGCAGAGCTGGAAGGGATCCTATGGATCATCTAGTCCAGCCCCTCTCAAGGACGCCCAGTGGGGATTCGAACATCTGACTCGGCAGCCAGGGACCTAAACCACTGAGTTATCCAGCAGTTCTTAATATTTTGCTGTAATTATTTCTGACAGGAAATGATAATTTATTTTACTGGAGGCCAGGCTGTGTTGTTTTTCAAACTACTTGCCTCCCATTAAGCCAGATGGAAACCCTGAGACTTTTTGCCATAAAGAGAATTCCTTTGCATCCGGCGAAATCGGCTTGATCACACATGGAAAAGATGGTTAGTAGAAGAGCACTTCAGACATTACTGAAAAACACCTGTTACTTTTGGTTGCTAGTGCAGAAATAAATACAACTGGCCTGGGTGGTGTCATAAAACCTACAAATTGGGTCATTCCCAGTTTCAAGGATATTGTCGTTTAATCAGATTGCCTTCGGTAAGTGTTTTATCTCAACTCTCCTCTCCCTGTACAGCTAAATCGGAGAGACTAGAAAAAGCTGTTCGCGCTGGATAGTGTAAAAATATTCTCATGGTCCTTCAAGTAAAGGATGTGTGCAGTAGGGGCAGGGCAACAGATCCCAGAAAAACTATTTCCTAACTGCTGTATGCTATGGACCTTTCTGAAAATACAGTAATGTTGCTTTACAGCTGGCTGAGAGAAGATAATGACTCGCTACAGGACAAGGACAGTGAGACAATCAACAACTGTACCTCCTTTTATTGGTAGCAGGCAGGGGCCACTTGACCTGCTGCCTCCTTGCAAAGAAATCCACCAAAGTTACTGGCATGCAAAAGATTTTACTGGCCTGCTGCATTTTGGTCAAGGGGGGAACAATCTAAAATACAGCAGATCTCTGGATCATCCCAACTTATCCTCCTTTTGATTAATGACACTCCCCTTCCAGCCCCCTTCATCATCTTTTCCTGCAGCTGTCATCCAGCAGGCTGTGGCAACTTTCTGTTAAATAAAGCAAGTGACATAACACAACAGCAATGCATCTACCTAGCGTGCAGCTGTCATCCAGCAGGCTGTGGCAACTAAAGCAAGTGACATAACGCAACAGCAATGCATCTACCTAGCGTATACAGTACATAATGCCACCAGTGTATCCCATTTAGAATAGCACTGCATCAACAGGACAATATATTGAAGCACTAGCTTGTTGGCTGCCCAGAGACACCTCGTTGGCTACAGTGGGAAGAGAAAGCTGGGCTAGAGAGTATCTTGGTCTGACCCAGCCTCACTAAGAGCTCTGTGGTGCAGTGATAGTGCAGTGCTACAGTCAAGCCTCTGTTCATGACGTGAGTTTGATCCCGACCAGCTCAAGTAGCCAACTCAAAGTTGGCCCAGCTTTCCATCCTTCCAGTTGAGCAAAATGAGTACTCAGCTCGCTGGTGGGGGGGGGGGCAAGTTGTTTGCATAATTATGTTGCAAGCTAGTTGGCCCAGCTTTCCATCCTTCCAGTTGGACAAAATGAGTACTCAGCTCGCTGCTGGTGGTGGTGGTGGGGCAAGTTGTTGTTTGCATAATTATGTTGCAAGCCACCCAGAGAATGCTGTAACACTATAGGGTGGCATAAAAGTTGAAATAACTTATTCTGTATGGGTAAAAAGGTTCCCCCTTGACATTTAGTCCAGTGGTGTCCGACTCTAAGACACGGTGCTCATCCCCATCTCCAAGCCGTAGAGCCAGCGTTTGTCCGTAGTCAGTTTCCGTGGCCAGCGTGACTAGACGCAGAATGCCGTTGCGAGTTAAACCGCAGAAGCCTCTGTGCTGCAAGGTCAGAAGACCAGCCGTCATAAGATTGAATCCAGAGTGAGCTCCCGTTGCTTGTCCCAGCTCCTGTATGGGAGTAGCTGGTCCAGGGGCACCCAGTGATCCCTGTAGCTGCTACAGACTAGCTCACAAATTGTATTTCGTAGATCTTTTCATATTTCCTAGATTTAAAGGTAAAGGTTCCCCTTGACATTTAGTCCAGTTGTGTCTGACTCTAGGACGCAGTGATCATTCCCGTTTCGAAGGCAGTGTTTGTCTGTAGACAGTTTTTCCATGGTCACATGGCCAGCGCGTCTAGACAAGGGGCGTCGTTACCTTCCCACCGAGGTGGTACCTATTTATCTACTCGCATGTAGATGCTTTTGAACTGCAAGATTGGCAGGAGCTGCGACAAGTGACGGGAGCTCCCTCCATCACGTGGATTCGATCTTTCGACAGCTGGTCTTCCAAGCTTGCAGCACAGGGGCTTCTGCAGTTTAACCCGCAGCGTCACCCACGTCCCTTCCTAGAGTTGAGTATCTCTAGATTATTTTATATGCATTTCCAAAAAGGTGTTCTGGGAATGCAGTGAGCAAGTCTTATGCTTGCAAGCAGGAGTTTTCTACCAGCTTGCCTCCCGCAGTGCTCAGCTTGGCAGCAATGCAGTGTTTTATGTTTACCCACACTAGCAGCAGCTCAGGGTTTGTTGCCACCTGAAGTGCGAAATGCCTCTTGAGAAATCTAAATGCAAATTGGCTGAAAGATGAGGTGGTTGGCATTCCTCTC